GGCTTGTTTTCATAGACCTGGTTGCTTATTTCTCTCAAATCTGGCAACAGAGTGGGCGCAGTGTCTAATTGTAGCAGTAAGCTAACGAGTACTGAAAGCTTTATTTTGTTTTGATCCAATGCTGCACAACTGAACTGATCCAATGCTGCTGTGAAAGAAAGAAGCTATATCCATGTTGGATAGAATATCCAATTTAAATAAAAAAATAACCTTAAGGGACAACTTGAATGCTTTTTTTTCTCTTAATGCATTGCATAAAGACCGGATCGGGAAAAATCGGTATCGGCAAATTGTCAAAATCAAATGATCGGAAGCAAAAAAAGGTGATCGGGACATCCCTAATAGACAGTCTATCTTTAGTGATCTTTAGTTTTCTATTGTTAGTGGTATAAAAATATATGTGTGGATGCGTTGACCTCTAATTTATCACATTTGTGTACCTCCAGTACTTCTCACTTTGTGTTAGTGTGAGGCAGCGCTGAGAGATAACAAGTGGAAGAGCTTCACGATACAGATGGTTCTCTCTCACAAAATGTGTCTCCACCCGTACAGTAACCCAGGACAGGAGTGCTGATGGATTTCTACCATCTGTGTCACACCAGTTTTTCAAAGTTACTGAACTCAAACCCTTGATGAATTATCTTAATAATCTTTCACCAAGTTAATGAAGATGGACAGTCAAAGCCTTTCAAATGTTTAGTTCTTGAAGACTTTTGAAAGTGTTTACAAAAAAATGTTTTCCCCATCCCGACAGCAACATATGAAATACTAAAATGTCGGCTGCTCCACCCTGTCCAATAATCTGGTTCTCCCTGACAGTTTGCAGCTGGGTGTGCTCCTCACCACACCCCAGCTGAGAAGATGGCTGTCACTGAAGAAAGTGACTGTTTGTTTACATGCACAAAATATGAATACTTTATTAGAATCAATACTCCATCCAAGCTGTTTGCATGTCTGCTCAAAATAAACTAATATCCTATTAACATGCAGCCGTGCATACTCAAATTGACAAACATCACAAGACGGGGTTTCTTTTTTCCGTGCATATCCAAAAAGCAGTTTAAGTCTTCACCAGAATGGGGGTGTGTTCCAGATATCTGGCTTTCCTATTTGAGGCAGGCTCCTCTATTTCAATGGAGTAGATTGACAGAGCTGAATGTAAACAGATAAGGGGCAGTGTGTCGCAAAGTTAAAGTTCCAAAACATTCCTGATTAAACTTTTGCATTTCGGAGGGGTCCAACACTGGATGGGTTGTTGCGGGGGTGGAGGTGCTGCCGTACGGACATTTATTGTTTATTATTGACATGTTTGTGTAAGCTGACTGGTTTTCTATTTATTTATTTTTTGTTTGTCTGTTTCTTCTGTCTGTGAGGGATTGTGTTTGCCCTGGTGTTAAGCAGTATTCACATTGTTACTCTACCTATTGTTCTATAAAGTGAACATTTGTTTACCTACTTTTGATACATGCTCTGATAGAATAACTGCATGCTGCTGAAAAAAACCCAATAAACAAATGTGACAAATATTCATGATCAAAGCCTCTCCACACCTGAAAAGCATCTGCATATTGCACTTTTTAAAAATTGGAATATGGTACATTCCTTCCCCTCACACTGAAACCAGAGCATTAACACGTTTGCACACAACCTGCAGGCTGTCACACTGGTTATTCTGTCTGCTAACACTGCATGATGATGAAGGAGATCCAGCGTCACTGATGCAAGCTGCAGACTTCAGGGTTCACTACGAGTCTGTGTGATAATGTAGTTCACCTCAAATACCTGAGCAGGTCCCATTTCTACACTCTGTATTAACAGTGTGTGTGTGTCGCTATCTGTACCTATAGAACTGCACTGTCCACACACCACCTCTGAAAGCATAGGATGGTTTTCCCTGTGAGCAAACTGTATTCTCTTTGTCCTTCAGTAGATCAGGAGCCGACCTCTGTCACTAACGGCTCGGTTCATGTTGAATACAAACAGTGGGAGAAGGAGTAAGGCTGCTGCTGACTCAGCTGGATATTGACAAACGATACACTGATTGAAATGTGATCCTTCAGGACCACTTCCTCTTTTTAGTTAGTTTTTTAACAGCAGAGATTTCAGTTAGATGTTAGAATATGGATTTAAAAGTATGTTTGGAATTTAAAAAAATGTAATCAATAATAGAAAACCGTTATTTTACATATACATGTTTTCTCCTTTTTGCTGGATGGACCTCCTCATCTCAGGAGAAGTTATTACAGTATGTTGAGAAAAAGAAGCTTGATTAAATAATAACCGAAATAATTTGTATTGCTTATTTTGGAACATTTGTATTCATGTTAAAGAGTTATTTCTTTTATTACTCAAAATGCATGTATGTCTGGTTTGATATGTAATTGTTTAGATATCCCTCTCAAAAGCAATTTGTTTTCATTTTTGTCGATACCTCATTGTGATCAAGTGATGTCTGTGGAGGATTTCTAGAAGGATTTGGTGGCTTTCAATGAACACAGCAAAAACAAATCAAAGTCAAACTGCTGAAGTCCGGCCGGCTACTTTTGCAACTTATTAATGCCAATTCTCATGAGCGGCCATTGTTCTCTTGCTTTGCAGCTCTAGATAAATGAAATCCTGATCTGGGCTAATGGATGAATAACTGCAGCATGTTCACTTCCTGCTTACCGCCTGTCTGTCTGTCCTGCTGGTTTCCTCGCTGACTGCAGGGACTTCACTTTCATGCCACTCCTCCTCTTCCTCTTCCTCCTCCTCCGTTCTGCTCTCTGCAGGAGGTGCGATGCTCGGCTCCTCGCTGAACGCCGCCCAGGACTCCTCCTCCTCCACCTGCTGATCCCCGAAGGCGCTCCACCCTGCGTCCGCCTCCCCGTCTGCGGCTTCTGCAGCCGAGCTGAAGTTACCAAAACTGTCGCTGACGGGGAAGTCTGCAAACTTGCCTCCATCCTCCTCCCCCACGGTTCCACTGGCGTGAAATTTGGGGGAGTTAAAGTCTCCAAAGTCATCCTCCACCTCCTCCACCTGCTGCTCCACCTCCTCCACCTCCTCCGTGTTTGTAGCTTCCTGAGCAGGAGCAGGACTCTCCGTCCGGCTCGGCTCCTGCTGCACGTCCAGCTGTTCAAAGTCTGCAAAGCCCTGACCGCTGAATGAGCCGGCGTCTCCAAAATCCCCGAAGTCCTCGTCCTCGGCCAGCTGGCTGTAGTCGGCGGGCGTGGCGGCGGTCTCCCCCAGGAGCGGCAGAGAGGGCACCGAGCCCGTGGTGCTGATGTCCCCAAACTCCTCCAGAGCTTCTGTGGAGAGCGGCCGACCCAACGATGTCTCCGTCTCCGTTTCTGTCTCCATCTCGTTCCCGGAGCCCTTCCCGTCAGACTGTCCCTCCTCAGCGTCCGGAGAGAGGTCGTCTTCACTGCCTCCGTCTCTGGAGTCGTCCCCGTCGGCTACATCCACCCCGTTCAGGGTGAGGGGTCTGTTAGTGCAAACTGCCTCCGAGGCCTCCTGTGCAAAAGCTACGTCTCTTTGTTCAGAGTCAGAGTGGGGGCCCCGGTCCGTGTTGCACGAGCCGTCCGGGGCCTCAGCGGGAGCAGGGTCAGAGTGGGGGCCCCGGTCCGTGTTGCACGAGCCGTCCGGGGCCGCAGGGGGACCAGAGTCAGAGTGGGGGCCCCGGTCTGTGTTGCACAAGCCGTCCGGGGCCTCAGCGGGACCAGGGTCAGAGTGGGGGCCCCGGTCCGTGTTGCACGAGCCGTCCGGGGCCTCAGCGGGACCAGAGTCAGAGCCACACGTGTCAGGTCCAGTTCTGTTTGTGTCCCTGTCCTCTGATGTGTTTTCCGGCTCCATATTAAAGTGCTCCTCGTGGCAGGCAGCCTCCGCCAACAAGCTGCCTCCCGGGGGATTGTCAGAGTCCTCGTTTGCCGTCTGGCTGCGGTGTCCTTCAGGATTGGAAAAAGCAGCAAAGTCTGCAAAATCATCCTCGGCTGGGATGCTGCCCGTGTCCTCAGTTGACGTTGCTTTTTTACAAGAGTGGACAGAATCCTGCGCGGAGGGGCTTCCCTGCACATCGAAGGTTGCAAACCCGTTTGTTAGCACCTCAGAGCCTCCGCCGTTACAACCAGCCGGCTCGCTGCCAGCTGTGTCGCTCACGGAGAAATCCACAGAGCCCGAGAGGACCTTTTTAATCTCAGTTCTTTCTGAGGGGCCCAGGTGGCTCCCCGGCACAACGCCATTAGCCTTGGACAGCTCGTTGTTGTTGTTGTGGGTGCCGTTAGAGGAGCTGTGGCTGAACGCCGTCACCCCCCTGCTGTTCAGGAGCTCAGGAGGGGAAGTGGCGCTAAAAGCTTCATTCTGGTTAAAAGTGGCCGGGGTTTCGAATTCTGTGAAGCTGATGCTGTGAGGGACGTTGGAGAAGGTGTCGAAGTCTCCAAACTCGTCCTCCTCCTCGGCGCCGTCCTCCATCGGGGGCGGGGACGAGCTGTACAAGCGGATCACATCGGGCTCCATGATTCTCTGGCAGTCAACGAATCCTCCTGGCTACACCTGCAAGAGACAACTTTAGTTTAGTTTGTTTATAGTGTCGTGGACCGTCCCCATCGATCAACTGTCACACCAAACAGTAAATGGGGCAGTTTTAGCAAACATTGCTCATTTCCAGCTGTTGTCTCTCCGGCCAGATGATAACACACACCTTATTAAAATCACAACACAGCATTAGTTATAAAGAAAGGATGAAAGACAAGTAGAGAACATCTTTATACTACATATATGTCACATATAGCACATCACAATCACATGACAGAGACGAGGGGTCCATGATCACAACATGTAACACACACGTCACACGCCATATCAACACAGAACAGGCCTCATCAGAAACAAAGTGTGTCACAGAGGAGAATAAACCCCATCAACACAGGGAGTGAACTCGGCTGGAGCTCCAGGGCCGATTATCGTGATGTGTGGTTTGAGACGAAGCAGAAATTGAATTACGGAACCACTTATAGGGGGACCGAATGGCGTCACGTTGACAGTAATGAAGTGGTAATGAGTGATGTGATGTGTAAAGTGAGAGTGCTGTAAACAAACAGTGAGAGACTATAAAGTATAATGTATTCACACAAGTTGTATCTATATTCATTTGATGTCTACTCTGCCTCGTCAACACTTACAAAATAATCTTGAGCTGACTGATTTTATATCTTTCACTAACCCTCTCTAATTGCATGTTTTCGACTGCCAACAAAATATCAAGTTATAACACGTGATGTTATCATCACTTCCTTTCTTTTGAATATGTCCTTGGAAACTTTTTGGGTCTGTAAAGTTCCTGGATGTGCTCCAAACGTGTTATCTTTGTGTGTGTTTGATGTTAGTCCATTGTGTATATTAGATTAGAATAAAAACAATCCACTGTTAAAATAAAAAAGAATGAAAGAATGTTGTCTTTTGAAATGTGTCCATATTTTTCCATGAATCTAATAAAAAACAAGCTGAAGAATGTTTACACGCTGGAACTATTTGTTGTAAATGGAAAATAAGAGTAGTTCAGAAATAATGACATGTCTTCAAAAACATGGCAGTGTTTTGGACATTTCATTATTTATACATGAAGAGTGCATGTTTTCCAGTGGATCACTTAGATCGATGCCAGAAAATGAATCCGTAACTATCTTTATGATCAGTTAATCATGTAAATCTTCTGTCAAGCACAAACACAACACATCCCAGTTTCTAAAATAGGAATTGCTTTTCTAAATGTCAGTTTAATATTTTGAGGTTTTAGAAAATGTAAAAAGGTTGCTTTGGTCTCTAGGAATAGCAATCAACAACTTTTTCCTAACAATTTGTAAAGGGAAATGTTAAAAATAATCATTTGAAATAGTCAAAATTATTCATTTGAAAAAACCACAAGGTGCCGGTACTTTTTTCAAAAGTACACATTTCTTTCATAAAGATAGGAAATTACAATCCTGTATGACCCAAAGGTATCTGATATAAAAGTTATGATTTCATGAGACACGCAGACCGGAGTTTCTTCCTACTTTGACTTCTAAATGAAGGAGGAACTCTGTTGGCATTCCCATACAGAGGCGGCGTCTGAAATGTGTGTTTGCTTTGTTGGCCTTATCTCATTGAATATCTGGCAGCAGGTACGTCTACACCCAGCCCCGGCAGCGCTGACTAGGACTACAGATATGCAGGTCCAGAAAGACAAGTTAGCTACAAAGGCTTTCGGGGAAAGAAAACACATAAATATGTTACCCGTAGCTCCTTTGTTACCAAGGAAACTGATGTGCCTCCATCACAATTTAAGCATGTAATTTGTCCTTCTGCTGTGCTGTACTCTCTGAACCTCTCAGAAGACAGTCCAAAATAAGCCACAATGTAAGTGACAATGTTAGCAGTGGTGGAAAGAAACTAAGTATAGTAAGTTAAATACAACTTTAAAAGTACTTTTACTGGTGCAACTCCTTTTTCTGAAACTGTATACTTCACCTCGACGACATCTGAGACACAAATCTACAATTGAATGCACTCTTACAAGTCACTTTGCAGATTCAGTTTAAACATCTTAAATCAACTAATAAATTGTGATATCATATTAAAATGGTTAAGACAGGTTGACATAGCACTCCATAAATGAATTCACATGATTATTATCGAGTAAAAAACATATTACTCTAATAGGCCAATTGCATGGTGGGTTTCGAGTGTATTTCCATGCTAAAAATGTTCATTTTAAATGCAGGAACAAAGTATTTATACACAGTGGTATTGCTATTTTTATTTGAGTGAAATGTCGGAGCACTTGTTCCACCACTGCTGTTTGGTTAAAGCAGCTGTTTTAGACCAGCCCTTTAAACTAAAGTTAATATTTAGCAAACTCAAAATGTTATCTATTGAGACGATCTGTCGCCGTCATTACAAGGTTTGCATCTTTTGACAATTGTTTATTTCAGAATCCACAAACTCAAAATCAACCACTTTAGGCAATTTCTCGAGTTTGACACATTTTCGCCTACTTGCCTTAGGTTATAATTGAAACTAGGTGAAGACGGCTCTAAGCTAAATCGGTTGGCATCTAGCTGAGCAGACTAAAAGGATAATGCTAACGTTTGCTCAGTATAAACCTGACAGCTCAGAGGAGTTATGTAGATTTAAAAACGACTAACCTAGGATTAACCTAACATGAAGCTAACAGCTATGTTAGCTTTAACTAGGAGGCATCTAATTAAACTACAAGGCCGAGACAGTTCGCAGAGATGGGGTGTAACGGGTGCTAACCTAGCTTAGCATGCTAATGTATGAGCGATGTTACCAGTTAACGGCAGAGATTGGGTGTAACGGTTGCTAGCTTAGCTTAGCATGCTAATGAACGATAGCGATGTTAACGTGTCATTAGTTTGTCGCCCCTTTGCCGTGACGTTTATATGGATAAACAGGGTGATCACACACATATAAATACGATATAAAAGCAACACCATGACATATGAGTAGATGAGAAGTCCAACACCTCGGATAACTACGCAGCTAGCGACAACAACAAGCATCTTCCCTGAGCTTTAGCTGTAGCTTCAGCCTCCTCATCCGGCTGGGTTTGACAGCAGGTGTCTTTAGAGAGAAACAGGTGAGCTCACCGTGAGATGTCCTCCGCTGATGTCCATGACTCAGGTAAAGCCGGTGCCGTCCATAAGGTGTCAGATTTGGGCCACCTGAGGAGTGCAGGACGGCTGAAAGTGAAGCAGAAACTGAAGGTTGAGTCAGCCGGTGCCGCTGCTGCTGCTACCCTGCCTCAATATCACCCAGCATGCACCGCGGTGACAGGCTCTTTCTGCTGGCTCCTCCAAAACTTTCCATGTTTAACAGGTACTTCAGTTCAGACAGAAAATCACAGATTTCACAGAAAAACACTTTGGTCAAACAACGTGGACTAATATTGCACTGAATCACAGGTCGTTAACATCTAAGCTCCATTAAATATATATATATGTTTAAGTCACAGTCTGCACAAGGCACCAACAAGATGTCATTGTCTTGTTGATTGGTTAAAAGTTGAGCAGATGTTTTAAAACCACATTTTATTTTTTATATTCAGAATATTTTAGTCAAATATCTGAAAATATTCCCAAAAACACCTGGAAAAAATACAAAAATATCTGCTTAATTGCAATTAAAATATCAATAAAGACATTGTCCAAAACATTATTAAAGCATCTAAAACAAATGGTTTAATATACAATAAAATCCTAACGTTTGCATACATTGAGCCTGTTTTTTAATGATTCACAATCAATATTTAAAGTTGTTATTTATTTGTATTTGATGAAATGTTGTACTCCACTTCGTATTGATATTCTTACAAAAAAGTAAATACAAAAATAACAGTGGTTTTTAATGGATGTGAAACACACACAGTATATCTCATATAGATATTCATATATTTAAATATGGATGGCAGCAGGACATCCCACTGTGTGGTTTGAGGTAGTCATCAAATCACAGAGGCCTCATATCTTCATGGTTTGTTTACTCATAAAAACAGTCCTACCCAAAGCCTCAATGGCCTTTAGTTAACCCCATTATTTTCTGTTTACTTTCATGCTACACATATTGTATTTTATGATATTTACAGTTGTAGTAGTTGTGGTCTATGGGCTGAACATCTGTTATAGAAGGAGCTTAATTTCCAACATTGCACTGCTATAGAAAGGAGAAGTAGCAAAACACATTTTATTCTTCCCCCCTAAAATAAACAAAATCAGTTGAAGTTTAAACTGTATTAAGAATATTTCCGGGGGAACTGAAGCCTATATCTACTCTCTTTAAAGCCACTAAACTATTTTCAGAAACACAGTAGTTTTACTTTGCGGAAAATGGAAGTGGCCGGTCTACCGCTTCCTCAATCCTTAATTAAATGTGTGTTATTGTGTGTGTTGAATATGAACTTACCCGTAAAACAACTAACTGACAAAACGGAAAAACCAAAATAGGATTTTATAAACGCTCTGGAAACACATTTTTTAGTCTGGGTGTTGTTTTCACACAGTCACACATGCCCGTTTTCAAACTGTTTCAGTCGATCAAAAACATTTGTCACAAATTGAGGCAACTGTTTTCTGTAAATTAAATATTTGTACAAAAAAAGCCAGGAGTGAATGCAGAGTTTGTTCAGAGGAGGAGAAAACTGTAATTGTGCGTCTCAAAACATGGAAGTTGCTGATCTTACACTTCCTTGATCAGTCAGTCTGTTAATGTGTGATCATAAAACATTTTTTTCAACACTTTTTTTCCCCCATATTCAACATTTTGTACAAAAAGGTCCACAGTGAATACAGAACATGTTCAGATGAGGGGAGTCATGGCAGTTTGAGCTCAACAGAGTCTGTTTGAAATCTTCTCAAATGTTCAGCAGTGCAGTGTTTTCCTTCAGGCCAGTTTAGTGATAGCGACGCTACCTTTGATCCACAACGTGTCAATGTCTCTGAGTGACGTCAACCTGTGCTGAAAGTCAAACAGCTTCTGTCCGTCCACAAACACACGAAAGCGACTTTGTTCACAGTGAATCTCAATCTGGGAGGAGACAGAAAGTGGAAGTTAGGTTAATTTTGGTGTCTATTGTTTTTGTGTGTTTTTGGCAGTTCTAAATGAATCTACGATACGATACGATAACACTTTATTGGTCAGATCAAGTCTGAAATGTGACTTGCATAACAGCAGCTCCATGTGTAACATCAACATGGACAAATATCAAGACACAACACATGAAAAACAAACAACAATATATATCCTTTATTTAACCAGATAGGCAGCATGAACAAAGTTACAACAGATAAAACACAGAGGAATACAGGCAGAGGAATACAGCTTTGAAACACAAATGAAATGCCAGTCAATATGCAAAATAAAAGAAACTATTAAAAAATCTTTAAAAACTGGCAAAATGTAAAACGACTTCAATTAAGGGATATACGAGCAATCACATCGACCAATGGTTTCTTGTTCTCTGTCCTTTAAGATGGACCTGAACTCCCCCAAGGTGATACAATCTGAGAGTTTCAGCTCCTTCTGTACTTTATTCCAAGAAGAGGTGGCAGCATATTTAAAAGCTGTTTTACCCAGTTCTGTTCTTTAGGAACCAGCATCTGAATACAATCTTGGGAGAGCAGGCCTTATATACTTTCAATTTTACACATATATGTGCAAATGTAAGAGGGAACCAGCCCACGTAATGCACAATGTTAATCAGTATCCAATCTCTTTAGGCACTGACATAGGCAACACACATTTAACATCACAGCACAATCAGTGAGAGAAAAGCTGCTCAAAGAGCCTTCAGCGGGCATTTGATCTGGATTCAGCTCTGTGTTTACTGAGAGGACAGACTGGAGCACAAAGGATGCTTCAGTCTGACTTTGAATCGGTTCCTGCAATTGACATCTGTCATTTTCCTTGCATTAAAAAAGTTAGCAGCTGCCACATGAAGACTATATATGAGAGTTGTGTGAGGTACCTTGAAGGGCAGTCCTCTGATGAAGGGGAAGAAAGGCACGACTCTCTCGGTTTCTCCCCAGGATCCGGACTCACAGGCTTGCCGCAGGATCTGTCGGTCCTTGAACCTCACACAGAGCTCCAGAGCCACGTCCACAGGAGGCTCGCCCCCTGTTCCCTGACCACACGTCAGGGCGAAGTAAAACCTAACAGAGGGATAAATACGAGCCATAAATCTGACAAGGATCTGACTTTATAATTGATTCTAGGAAGGCCTAAACAAAATCAGAAGGGAGGATCTAAGATAGCTTAAACAAAAACATTTTTTATTTTTTTTAAAACAGCTATTGTTACTATAATTATTATTTATTTGTATTTTGTTATTTTTCACTAGAAATATCTGCCATCTACTTTGGGTAACCCAGCAGCACAATATTGTATTTGAGAGCAACAGAAACAAATACAACCAAAGTAGATGGCAGATATTTCTAGTGAAAAATAACAAAATACAAATAANTAACTGAACCATCATGCATTACTGGTTTTTACATTAACTTGTAAGCAAATGTATGTTCACCCAGTGTGGAACCTTGTTTCCTTAGGATAAGTTCAAAGTAACCAAATGGAAAATGTATAATTAATAATATAGTTTATATAAATTAGTTAATATAAGATGAATAATCTCTATTCATTCAATAAAAACACTTGAATGTAAGTTTGATAAACCACAATATTAATTAGATAATCACATTTTCGCTTGTTAACTGTCGTATCAAGTGCATAACGTTTGTTCGGCGTGAACAGGAAGGCGGTTTCAATGTTGAAGGACAGATGAAAATAAAGGACATAGATTTGTGGTTAAAATGCTGCAGCAACAGCAAAGAAACATGAAGACAAATAGAAAAAGAAGCAGATTTCTCTCTCTCATTTATTATTGAAAACACGCAGTGCAGCTACTTTGGAAAATGTGTTTCTTTTTATATTGCATGATGAAAGAAAATGTGTTTGCCATGAAGTGCTTTTTCTTTTTATACCAACAATGTTTTACACTGGTCAGGAGGCACTTCACTGAATACATATTAGATAGGGGATACATCATTTAAGAAAAAGGTTAGGGAAACACTGGTTAAAGGGGTAATAATTATTATTATTAAAAACTGCATAATGACTCAAATGTCAAATAGAGCGTCAGAGGCTTTTTCTTTGACGGAGCTCAGTCGTTGTTGTTTACCTCTTGTATACAGGCTTCATGTTCCAGCGAGAATTGATACATATGATATACAAGATCTGCGCCACAGTATTGCCCTCATACTACATTATTCTAGAAAATCCCCTGCATTTATTTGAAGTTTCAATCACAGTATATGTTTTATTTTTATGTAAACCACGTGACATTTTTTTATACCGAGCAAAACAACTAAGCGGTTTACGGGTTAAACATTGATTCATTTTATATTTTATTTTTCTATATTAAAACATACGAGTGAACGCCATTAACTCAACTTCTGCCGTTTGTTTGTGGTTTTTTTCTGTTGTAATTTATCTTTTAATGTATGGAAATGGAGCTGAAAGTGTTTTTTCAATGTATTTCATGACACTGCGGGCTTTGTCATTTTCTATAGATGGAGATGTTGTTTGCTTATTTATGTTTTTTCTACTCTGTTATTTTTATACAAACCAACAAAGGGGGTTATGTGTGTGCTTTCATAATAAAATATACAAAATGGTCACTGTTGTTGTTTCCTTGGCCTTTCTTTTGGTTAACAGGCTTTCTCACATGAGTCAAAGAGCTGACCTTAAAGGGCCCATGTCATGCTTATAAATGCATGTAAACGGTCTGCAGAGTCACTAACCCTCAAAGTACACCCTGGCCGTTTCTCAATCGCGAGGATGCTTGCTTGGTAGCACATGTCTTCCGAGTCACTTGCTTCCGAAGCTAGGCAAGAATCCTTCCTGACTTTCGGAAAACGAAGAGTGGAACAGGCTAGCAAGTGTGCAGGTGTGCGTCATATGAGAGGCCCCGCCTTACATTTTCCGCCACAGATTTGGGGAAATTGGTCCGTGTGCAAAGCATTGTGGGGATTTTAAGGACGCGAAGTCTACCCATGTGCAGCCTCGAAATTACCCCCAAACCAAGGACGCGGCCTCGGAGGAATTCCAAGTATGCTGGAGATTGGAACAGTCCTTCGGCAGCACTCAATGACGTAGCATCCTTGAAATATTGGCTTGGAAGCCAGTTTCCTCGAGATTGAGAAACGGCCCCTGTCTATGCTGCCCCAGAACGCCTCGTTGGAGATTTCTCTTTTTCCATTTCTTTCTTCCGGGAACCGCATGACGTCATGCAAAAATGGACCAATCCACGGAGCTCCTCACACACCAGGACCTTTACCGTACATTTTCAACTAACAGGGAGTCCCCATTGACTTGCATAGAGCTCCCTGGTTGGTAATAGACGAGTTGGGATTGCGGAGAAATGCTATCCGCGCAGATCCATGCTCACAGCGTTTTAAACCTTTTTCTTACTCAATATCAAGCCACACTTATTGATTTTTCTTCGCCTGTGAGTGTTTATGTGTGCTCAGGATAAGTTTCGCTGTGTCTCTGTATCGCCGACCCGGAAACCACACCAGTAAGCCAGCTCACTGAGCAGCGAGCCTCGCAACGTCCCGACCAATCAGAGCACACTGGGCTCACAGGGGGGGCAGGAGCTCCAACAAGCCGTTTAGGACAGAGAGTGAATACACATACTATATGAGATGCCGTGTGAGAAACGAATGTGAGTTTGGAAAATTGCACAATTTAAATCTATAGTAGACCTCAACAATGGAATTATGATCAGTAGAAATGGCCATGACATGGGACCTTTAAGATCGATTAGACATTTGTTTATGAGCTGTTGTAATTTGAGCAGTGGCGGCCGGTAAATACAGTCAGAGACATTTTTACATTTTGGCGAAATATTTTAAATTAGCGGTTCATAATTTTCTTTGGAAGCATGTGGCCTCTGTTGTTTCCTCTTCCTCCGGCTCGGCCCTTTCCTCTGACCTTGTGCTTCCTCCCATTCTCTTACAATCTCCCTCCACGGAAAATGAAAAGGAAAGTTGCTACCAGACAAGTTTTTGTAAATGAAATTAGAAACAGGGAAAATCTGTACTTAAAATAGAGAAGTTGAAGAGAAAGCTCCGTACCTCTGCTGCAGACTGGTAAGGTGAGTCTTTTTGGACACTAGGTGATACTTCTCTGGATTTCTGAGCATTCTTAAAGGAAGTTATTGTTAACCTCTAACGTGATACCTACAATTGGTAGAATTAAAGAAGCTTACCTAACGTTATTTAAAACAAGAAATTACCTAAGGAAGTAAAACCAACCTAAAATGATCCCTCTTGAAAGTCCTTCGTTTACAATCTTAAGTAAAAGTATGTATCGGCTAAATGTACTTAAAGTATGGTAGTTTACTCAACAGCAATGCATCATATTCTGTAAGGTCCTCATGTTTAAACTTCTCAGTTTTGTGACGATTCATTTTCCAACAGATCCAAGAGGCTTTTTAAATAGTTTATTTAGCTAAACAAGTGGGAGAATCTTCTGAACAAATGAAGAAACACTTCATCATCTGCTCACTTATTTGCGCTGTCAGAAAATGTGGTTGTATTTGCTTCTGAAATGTAATCAAATATAGGTATACGGTTGCATAAAATGGATACTCAAGTAGTGTATAAGTACCTTCAATGTGTAGGAAACTACAATACCAAATGTAACATATCTAGTTACAACCTTCCACTGCTTCAAAGTACTGGTAATAGTCTGTATGTAATATTATTATTAGGTTATCAACGCTGTGCACATGAGTTAAACAATAAACAGTAAGTATATACTCCAGTGGTGTAGTGGGGATTTTTTTGTCACTGACACCCACAGCTCGCCGTTGGGTCACGAGCGTGATGACGAATCATAATTTTTTAAGGAAATCGTTTTTATTTTTTGTTATAATTACTTACTACTGTGAAATGTATTATGTTTTCGTCATTATTACAACAAATACACACTTGCAACTGATAGCACTGGCAATTATTTTATATTTATTAGACCATTGAAAAAAAGATCATGCTCCAAATAAGTGGGGGTACGGCGTACCCCCGCGTCCAACGCCCACTACACCACTGTTAACTGTCATATCAACAGTATACACACATGTATTTATAGAATACACCATTTCAAATATAAGGGTTACCCTAGAATATACTATACCAAACTAATGCAACTAACATTTAAACATAGTGTTTTTTATTCATTATATGCGAAGTATTTTTATTTATTGTTTTGAAACTTAAATCAAAATCACAAATACTTTAATGAACACAGGGTAAATCGTTTTTTTGTGACAGTTGTTCCATTATAAAATGAATTACATTAAAAGATAAATAATATGTATAACAAAGAAGTCAGAATGTGCAGTAAAAGATCAAATAAACATAATAATTAAAGTAAAAATGTTCAATAAAAGATCAAATAAGACGTGTAAACATAAGAATTCAATTAAAAAGTCAAATAAAAGTCGAGTACCAGCATAAAGTACGAGTTAAATTTAAAGCTATTTAAAGATCAAAGGTTAAAAAAAACGGTTGCTCTGCTGAGAACAAACGCTTTCATATTTTTTGGTTTTGCCTGCAGTCACCGCCTCACAATGAGCTCTCTTGTTATTGACCTGAGAGAGAAAGGCATGCAGAGGGCAGTTGATTAACAGAGCAGTGTGTGTGTGTGTGTGCGTGCGTGTGTGTATGCGCGCGCGCGCGCGTGTGTGTGTGTGTGTGATGAGGCAGGTTGGAGCTTTTTTCCGTCAGAGTGGACGGAGGAATGCAGTCTAACTGGATCTGCAGCTCCTTTTTTTCCCTCTACTGTTTGTTTTCCTCAGATAAACAAAGATGGCGGACACACGACGTAGAGTGACAGAGCCGGGCAGAAAGGTGAGTTTAATTCAAACACACCTGAGAAACAGGAAGCAGCTGAGAGATTATGTAAAGTAACAAAAATGAGAGGAACCAGGGGGATAGTGTTTTATATTTCAGATTCACTGTTGGGATTACAGTTTTATTTCTGAGGTGTATATTAAACTAGTTGACAAACTTTTAAAATAATCTGTTGTCGTTGAAACTGCGTCATGCATGCCAGAAGAGAAACTGCAACGTCCGGTCATTGTTAACAAAATAAAAGCTCTGTCTGCATACTTATCTGGCAGTTTTTTTTAAATATATCTATGAAGTAATGATACAAGAATCCAATAAATTGAACTGTGGTCAATTGGTTCGAAATAAAGTATGTTTTCTTGGTGCTGGTATATTTGTTATTTTTGACACCTCGAGTTACAGCAAAAAATTTGTTTTGAAGGAACCCTCTAAACTTTTGGGGATTTGACGCAGCACGTGATGGTCACTCACAGGACATGTGATGTCACGCAGTTAATTGAGTTTGAGTTGCTAATAATTTCATTACGTTTTTAACTTTCTTGTGAAAAATAGTTTCACACTATGAATAATATTTGCATATAAGCATACACGTAATGTCTTTTTAAAAATAGGAAAATAGAGGAAAATATGTTTACATTCACCAGTTTGTTTTACTTGATTGAAAGATAATGCATTAAAAAATGATGTTATTTTAAATATGATTTATTTCTACATTCAATTAATGGGGTTTCGGATTATGTGTGGTAAACATAACATAAACAGATTAAAATGTACCACAAAGTTAATTCAACTGTTTTGAGAATATATTAAGGGCCAAATGCACTTTTTGATGTCTTTTATACATAAATATGTGTCCCCGGTGCGTCGGGGATCTCACGCAGCATCAAAAAATAAAACCCTCTCTCTTTTCCTCCGTACCCAAATCTTTTAAAAACAGGGGTACAACGGAGCTGATACAGATTTGCTGCCGATATGACGTAATGTCGGCAGCGGACCCACAGAAAGTTGCTATCAGAAACAATGCCTGACGTGTTTTGGACGTAATCTCGCCTTCGTTCTCGCTACCACTCAGAGCTAACCTGTACTGGAGAGCACATGTGTTTTAAAAGCAGGAAATAAAAAAAGGAACTCACCTTGTGATAAACCTGAGAAAAAGCATTTGAGCTCCATACTGTTTCAGAAATAATCCTTGATGTGGTTTAGAACAAGATGGCGTTTTATCACAGCAGAATTTAACTTTATCTCCGGTAGAATTCTGATCAGGCATTAGGCATTTTTTCAAGCTAAGGACCCAAAATCTGCGTTTCTCTTAACAGGGCTGCAAAAGAGTGGTTTGAGCAGTATGAGGCATGGCTACAATGGGTGATCTGTTTGTTATTTTAAGCAAAAAACTTCACAGACATGTTTTGTATAGGTATGGGCCTACAATATATTTTTCCAATATAGCATGATAGGTCCACTTTAAGACTATTAACCTTTACAATACAGAAAACTGTCAAATATGTGTATTTTCTTACTTTTTTAAATTTTCTATATTTGTATTTTATTTAATTGTTAAGTTGTACATGTTTTCAAACAATCCAAAAATGTCCATTTATATCTGGAAATGCAAAACAGTTTTTTTCACTTTTCAGAAATGGGTCGTTCCACAGAGAAGTCCACCTGATGAAAATAAACCGAGTGTTCGTCCTCCTGAAAAAGAAGCCGAGAGAAGTCTGGTAACTGTTTCTCCAAATTATAACTTTATTTTAATAATGTTAAGGTATGATTTCTTAAAATATGTTAACTTTATTTTAAAGAACAATACATATACAGTGGAGGAAATAAGTATTTGATCCCCTGCTGATTTTGCAAGTTTGCCCACTTACAAATAAATTAACAGTCTATAATTGTAATGGTAGGTTTATTTTAACAGTGAGAGTAAGAAAATCAAAAAGACAATCCAGAAATTGACATTATATAAAAGATAAAATTTGATTTGCATTAAACTGTGGGAAATAGCTTGTACAACTGTATCTCATGTATCCTCAAATAAAGGATGTTAAATAAAATAAAATGTTTCAGTAAATACATGTATTTGAATTTATCCAGTGCATCCATTTTTTTATGTCATGTTCCCATTTTCTCTGTTTGACACTTACATTTTTGTCTTTTATATAATACAAAGTCACATTGATAGTATTTTCCTTTGTTTGATGTAAATGTTTTGTGTGCAGGCGGTTCCTTTCAGAGGTCACATCACAGGAGGGATGTCTCCGGGGAAGAAGGTCGTCATGGTCGGGGTCGTAGACTCTCGTCCTGACAGGTACAAATTAATCTAATCTAATCTTGCATTTATTAATCCATCTCCTTCCTTTGGTATCAATACTAACAGTGTGGATATGCAGAGAATGGATCTGAATGATTTTGAAGGACTCCTGAGATGCATCTCACTTTGGTTAAATGGATTCCTTGCGTCCCTCACTTGCGTTGTTTCCCTGCGACTAGTCCCTCCCACCAGGAAGAAGCTAGGGAGGAACTTGCTCTCCTTATGATTTGTTTCTGTTGCTCTCAAATACAATATTGTGCTGCTGGGTTACCCAAAGTAGATGGCAGA